GCACTAATTAAGCAAATGTACATAAATTGTTTGTCTTTATTATTTAAAAATTAAGACATTCAAAAGATGATACATGTCAATTGTGGTGAAACTTGTACATACAACAATATTGTCCAATCCTCTTTTCAAAATCAAAGAAAAATAAAAAGCTCTTTGATTTCCACGTTTCCACATGCAATACATGATTCAATGTCGATTTCTTTCATTTATGTTTGACAAAACAATAATGATTTTTGGATAAAGATAAATATATAAGTCAATTAAAGTAAAAAACTAAATACAAACTTTTACATAGAAAATAAATAAATGAAATTACAAAAATTACATACAAACCGTAACAATGTAGCACATATGACATAAGTTGGATTCGTAAACAACATCTGCAAGAAATACATAAAGAAAAAGTATTAGCATAGTTCTGCTGTTAAATAAAAATATTAAACGGATTTAAACCATCTAAATTAAATTATAATACGATAAATGCATGAAATCAATTGAAAAAAAGTTACAAAAAAAAACCAAAAAGAGAAAACGAAAAACGAAAAACAAAAACAACTCGAATGGAATGGATGAAGAAGAATAGTGTAGGGTGAAATAAATAGATGGGGGTTTATATAGTTTTGATAAGTATATAGTAATTAGGAAATTTTTTGAATTATAATTTCAAACATGATTATAGGTGGGAAAAAAAAAGGTAAGAAATCAAATCAATTCAATTCGGATGATTTGATTTCTATTGATTAGGAATTAATTTTAAAAATATTAAATAATATTTATGGTTATTGAATATTTTCATTAAACTAACAATATCATTAAATATAGTCATCTTAAATAGGTAAGAAATCAAATTTCATATCATAAAATGTATATTTTTACTCTAGAAAATTTTAAAATAAATAAAACATACACGTTTTTTTTGTCCTTTTTTTCTTCTATTTTAATAATAAAATTATAAATTTCATAATATATTATTAATCTGTTAATTTGAAATCGAATTTTAATGCATTATTAAACAATATTAATATATTATTTTAATTTTTTTATTGAATGGATATTCGAATATTCCAGAATATTGAAAAAAAAAATTGTATTTCTTTATTTTAATATTTGAATATTAAAACAATGTTTTTTTTCTGAAAATTATTTGAATATTCTGATTTTTTTTAAAAAAGACTACCAATAAATATATTTTGAAATACTGGAAATGTAAATAAGATTTTTTATTTCGAATTTATAAAATATTAATTTTGGAAATAATATATATACACGTGGTAATTGTTAAAATGAGTGTGTAAATGTTAAATAGGAAATAACTTAAATACATACCAAAATATAATTGACAACACATCAATTGAAGAATCCACCTCATCAATTGAACTCCAACTAAGCAATTTTGATAAATGACATCATCATTTGCCACATGTCAATCATTGAGGGCATAGATCCTCTTTTTATATTATATATAGATACCCTCAATTAATATTTATATATTCCCTCATTTCGATGTGACTGTTGAATGAACAAATACAACACACCAAGTTAACTTAATACATCAATTTGCAAATTTAGGATGCAAAATGCAATGTGGTACAAATAAGTAACAGTAAAATGCAACTTTCAAAACCACATTGCCAAAACAAAATGCAAAGAACAATAATAAAACAAACAAAACAACCAGCATAAATACATAAACTATTCGAACTTCAATAATAGTGCATGCTACAATAAAATGCAGACCAAATGAAGACCCACAAAATGCATAGTACAAATAAAAGCAACATGCATATCATAAGAACATCAAGAAAAACAACATAAAAATAATGACGTGTTCCTTTTATGGATCATGTTAAACAACAATTTTGTGACATGTTCCTTTTTTTGGACGTGGTAGTTGAATGCACAATAAAAGAAAAGTAATTAGAACAACAATTGCATACAATAAAGTGCAAACTTCAACAATAACAATTTATTAATTGCAAACATAAAATTGAATTTCAAACAAGAAATGTCATTGCAAACATCAAACAATACCTGTAATTTCAAAACAATAACTGCAAAGTGCAAAATGAAAACATGTACTTCTTACGAACATGTAGAAACAGCAAAAAACTAATTTAAGTGCCCGTAGTATGAGGACTACAAAAAAAATGCATACCAAAGCGACATCAATATAATGCATAACACAAGAACATGACACGTGCAAACAAGAATTGGCCTTACAAATACTTGCAAAGTGCAAATTGAAGTTGCAAACAATTACTTTTTGATGTACATGTAACAAACTGAAGATATTTGTTTCTAAAATATCCACCCCATGTTTGATACAATAAAATTCAGACCAACTTAATAGCAAACAAAATGCATAACAAAAGCAAATCAAATGCAAACATAAACTGCCATTTGCAAAACAACAAATAACAACTTCAATTACAATCAAGAAATGCAAAGTGCAAACTATAATTACGAATATGTATCAATTACAGAACAACTAGCAGTGCTTCCTAAACGTTACATACTACAATAATCTACAGACCCAATTATCAGAAATAATACGTTTCAACACAAGAACTCAACATGCAGACCTGAAAAACATTGGAAAAACAAAACAAAAAACACTGAAAAAACCTATAACATTGTTTCTTGTAAAATATATGGAATAAATGCAAAAAAATACTTACCAAGCCTATTATGCGTTTGCACCATATTTTTGCTATTGAGGTCCTTCGTGTTGGTGTTATGAGGCAATTGAAAAATCGAACATCAAAACGTTTATACAATCCTCTTTAACACCAAATAACAAACGAAAATTAAAGCAACATTAAACGATTTCTGGGTTAGCAAACAACAAACGGTTTTTAGGTCCGCAAACAACAAACGGTTTATAGGTTAAACTCGTAGCTCAGTTCGCGATTTGCAGCGAGTTCCGGGAGAAATTTAGCGTTAGTAGATTGCGGTGGTTTTTTGGGAGGGAATTGAAAATCTCGGGGGTTTTGGGATTATGGAGATCTTGCGTAAGAGTTGATTACGGATCTTTTGGATAAAAATCAGAATTAAAAAGTTTTATAAAAATATGCTTTTATTTTGGGAATTTATTTCCATATATTGTTAGGGGTATTTTTGACACAATAAAAACAAAAAAATTAATTAAAATAGAAATGTATTGGTTGGATTTATGCACATAAAAACTACTATAGGAGGACCTATAGAAAATTGCCCTTTTTTTTAATAAGTACATTTATAAATAGCCAAATATAACAAAATTGCAAAGACAAATAATAAATATCACGAACTTAATATCTTGGCCATCTTAATTTAAGAAATACAACTTGAGATTTCTCACATACGAAATTGAATCCACATACTCGTGTCATCTTCGAACAATCCAACTAAATCGAACTCAACAACATGTATTTATTATATTGTTGCAAATAATATTATAATATTGAAACGTTTATATATATCCATGGACCATCCAAAAAAAAAGTGATCGTTCATGGAAAAATAAATATTAATAAATTAATTAATCTGGAGTAATATAATCTCCATTTAATTATAAATTAATTAAGTTGGTAGTAATAATTTACTAAGAGAACTGTTTGCTGGAAGAAAAAGTCTGTCCGAATTTCCAGGAAGAAGGAACAACGTTGAGGAATTCAGTAGTCTTGCCGTCGAGCAGAGTGATCCTAAACGACAGCGTTTGGGTGCGGACGTCAAAGTGGGTTTGCCAGTTGGCGCCCCAGTTACGGCGCATGGGGCTCCATATTGGGGATCTGGAGCCCGGTATCCATGCGCGTTTTCTGTCACCGCTTCCACCCACGTTTGTTCTCATTTTCATGTTGAAATTGGGGTGACCCTTTAATGTGAATCGGACTCCCCCACTTATTCTGCCTCCCACCCTGTTAATTGTTATATATTTTTCTTCACAATTAATTAATCATTGTACATTTAACCAAACACTTAATTAGAAATGGAAATACAAATATATCTTGATATTCATTTTTTTTTTTTGTTGGTGAAAAAGGGGGCACAAAATAATGCTACAACGTGATTGCAATTTGTGTTAGTATTTTATATATATATATATATATATATATATATATATATATATATATATATATATATACTCATCGCTGGCCAAATCAAACATGTATGTGTTCAGTGGAGAAGCCAGGATTTTTTTACTGTGACTGAATATTCATTAAAAAATAGCGTAAAGAAATTAATGACAACGGTTATTGTTTCAATAGTCTATGATAAGGTTATACGGTGAATTTAAATTTTCGGGGGTTTGTGGGCACGCCCCCGAAATTGTTTTTCAGATTTTGTTTTTGAAAAAATTAGAAGATAGGAAAAGAAAAACCTAAGATATTTTGAATAAATAAAAAGGATTCAGGCATGGTCACCTTCTGTAGAGCACAGGAACCACGCCTTCATTACCCTGTCTGGCGATGCGAAAGAAGGCGGGTGTGGACATGTCGAAGTGGTGACGTGGCGGATCGCACCACCCGCCTTGGTTGTTAGACGGGCAGAAGTTTGTGGCGGTTACTGTGACCGAGGCTCGCCGGAGGCACCACTTCGAGTCGAGCTGGCGGTTGCAAAGTACCTGATAGCATGCCCCGCAAGCCTCCCCGCCCCTATATAGAGCACCGCTCAACGCCGCCGTGTTTACACCAAATCCAGCTGCATAGCTGTTCTCGTACCCACAAGCTCCACCTGAGATCACAAATCAACATTTTAGACAGTCAAAATTAACTATGTATGTATGTATTGTTGCATGAGAAAGTCAAGATCAATTTTATTTTATAAATTGATTGTGCATGCACTTGTATTTGATGAATTGATGCATGGTATTTTTTGAATTAGAGAAAATTGTTTGGGGGAAGAATTTCATGTATCAACTAATTAAATATATTTTAAAAAAATCCACTACAATAATTGAAATTAATTAAAGCAACTCATCCAAAAAGTTTTAATAGTTCGTTATATATTCTTATGTTTAAACTTTATAATACCTTCAATTCAAGAAGAGCTTGGTTCATTGGAACACAAATTATTAAAAAAAAAATTAAGAAGGTTACTATATTGATCTTAATTAATTAACAATTTAATATATATGCTTACTTTTAGAAAATGTAAATATTTGTCCTATTTATGGAAATATAATTGTCTATTTTATGAATTTCAAATAATTAACTTTCTTCTTGCACATAATAACCATAATAGAGTTGAATAAAAACAGTATTCTTTTCATAAAATAAAATATATATATATATACAAAATAAAAAAAAAAAAAAAAAAAAACCAATAAATTAGTTCTTACCAAGGGTGCTGGGATTTTGATTCCCGCCATAGAAAGTGGCACGAGCATTAATCCAACCATTACTCTGACAATTAATCCCCTTCAAGAACACACAAATTACCAAAACGACATTCAAAATGAAAACACGCTTATAAGTATAACCCACAATCGCCATAGTAATAAACTCCGATCCTCCTCTTGTACTAAAAGCGTAATAACTTAATTCGTAGATACAAAACGCGACTTAGGGTTCCATTTATAGAATCCCATGTGTTTTCTCAACCATGTACCGTACTATGCTGTACGCGTTTGTGTTTGTGTGTCGGTGATTACTGATTGATTGATTAATGTTAGTATAAAATTATGAGATAACATTTAATGAGACAGCGATTTTTCAATCCTATAAAAACGCGTTGTTTTTTCCACGTCCCCCGAAAGTACGGAATGGTACAAACTATAGTACTCTACAATACAATAAATTAATACTAATATAATTATATTTAATTAACCATGCATAATGAATCAATATTCACTTCGGGGACAATAAAAAAGCATGAGCATGTGAGGCTCAGTTTTTTTTTTTTTTTTCCAAATCTAGTGCCGGTGATCCTTTCAGCTGAATTATTATTGATTTACTAGAAAAGGCCGGATTATTTACAGTTTTGGTTAGGATGCAAGTTGGAACAGAAATTCCCATTTTCATCGGTTCCAATTCGAAAAGTTTCAATTTTGGAATAACTTTATTCATGCCGACTTCCGTTTTGATTTTTTCCGATTGTTTTGGTGGAATTATATAAAAGCAATTTGTAATTTCCGAAATTAATTCCAAATAATACACCTATAAATAATATACATATTATATAATTCTAATTTTACTTTTTTGTTTACAAAAACAAATATTTGATATATGTTTTGTTTAATGATTTTGACATATTGAATTGTTGTTGGATGTTTTATTGGATATTATAATGTGGTTTATTTTTAATTATTTTTTCAACTGAAATTTAGAGGGTGTTTGGCTAAGCTTATAAGATGTTAAAATGAGCTTATAAGATGTTTTAGAGCTTATAAGCTCTTCCAAAGTGTTTGGTAATTTTTTAGAAAAAGATCTTATTTTTTTAACAAATAAGCTGTTGGAGAACAAATAAGATCTTTTTAAATAAGTACCTCTACCCTCACCTTTTTATTTAAGATCTTATAATGAGTAAAAATAGGAAATAAGCTCATTATCCAAACACTCTAAAAATTAATCCTAAAAATAAGATATAACAGCTTATCAGCTCTTAAAACATCTTATCAGACGTAAGAGCTTATCAGGTGTTTAAAATAAGCTTAGCCAAACACCCTCTTAATAGTTATTCGTTTTACTTTTATCGAGGTGGATGTTCTTATTATTTTTGGAAAATTATTAAATTTTCAGAAAATTTCCGCTAAACTCATACCAAAATTTCGATACGCCAAATTTATATACCGTTTATCGTACGATTCAGTAAATAACCGAATTATCAAAATTTTATTAAAGATATTTATATATTTTGTTTAATTAATTTTAATTAAATTACTAATATTTCATACACACACACACACACATACATATATGTGTGTGTATGTATAAATAAATAAATAAATAATTGAATATCGAACCGAATTACCGATTCAGTAATCGGCATGTACCAAATTTTCGTTCGGTTTGGTACGGTCGGTTTACCAACTGAATTAACACCCCTCTGTAAATTTGACAACGTAAGGGTGAATGTGTAAGAAAATACATAGTTGAGGGTAATTACGCAAATAAAAGGGATTTTTTCGTAATTTGGCTTTACCTCATGGGTTGACCGCAATTTGCCCTAAATTTTAAATAAAACAGGCAAGTAAAGACGGAATTGGCCACCAAATTGTAATTTTAACATCATTTTTTTTAGAATGATCAACCTACTTTCCTTTGTCAAACTCATTTTACACTTGAAATAATATGTTCCAATAATTATTTACCAAATTGAGAATTACAAATATCACTATATTTACCAATGTGTAACACATTGAGAATTACAAAATCGGCGATTTATTTTATGGGTCCATTTGATATACACCCTTAATATGGAAAATATATAGGGATAGGTCCACCCCTAAAATTCTTCCTTTGAGATAACCCCCTGAGAAGGCAAAAGTACTATTGTGCCCTTATTTCTATTTTTTGCCCAACTGTATTCAGTATTTTTACTAACTGCATTCAGCATTATGATCAACTGCAATTAACATTTAGACCTGCATTTATCATATTATCAGATTTTTTTAATAAAAAATTATAAATGTTTATTTTATTATTATTTTTTATATATACCTCTGTTGTATTTTTAATTTTTTAATTTTTTTTTAATTTTTTAAAATTGTTTAATTTTTGTAATTTTTAATTTTTTTAATTTTTTAAATTTTTAAATTTTTTAAAATTTTTAATTTTTTTAATTTTTTAATTTTTTAATTTTTTAATTTTTTTAATTTTTTTTTAATTTTTTTTAATTTTTAATTTTTAATTTTGTTTCAATATTTTGATAAATTTACTGTATTGAAATTGACTACACATGACTATGGTATATATATTACATATGATTATATAAAACAAACTTCATCTACACCAAAAACAAAAATTCACAATTTAATCTTGATATTATAAATCAATTAATATCCAACAAAAAATTGGAAAAACACAATCATCAACATCACTATACATCAGAAAAAACACATAACTTATATAGCTTATATATAACAATATATTACTACGACTACATGTATATGACTACACATGACTATATATGACTACATGTATATGACTACACGTGACTATATATGACTACACGTGACTATATATGACTACATGTATATGACTACACGTGACTATATATGACTACATGTATATGACTACACGTGACTATATATGACTACATGTATATGACTACACGTGACTAAATATGACTATATGTATATGACCACGTGTGACTATTTATGACTTGATAACGCAAATCTCCCCTACACTGAAACAAGTACATCTAAGTTTCGAATAAGACGTAATTGTCGAGAAACTGCCGGTCCTCCCACTGTATCATCACCGACTCGCCTGACATACTCCTCATCCAACACGAGAGTAGCTTCTAGAGTTGGTAGCCAATCTGCTTGTTGAAGCCAATTCTCAAAGAAGAATTGCCATGATACTGAACATAAAAATAATTCAGACCCTCAATCATATTGGAAATATGAAATCATTAGCGCATTAACTAATAGAATAAATGAAAACGATAGCACCCCTCTAGATTGACTTTTTGAGAAAGAGAAACTTACACCATGTACTAGAGCAAATGAACCACTGTCATCATTTGTGGATGAACATATATAGCCATGAACTTGAACCGAGTAAGAATGGTACATTACTCTACGGTGAGCCAGTCTTTTCACTACCTGAATGTAATTTCACCAAGAAGACATCAAAGTCGGACAATATATCACCATTATCAAACACATAGCCCACACATGACTACATGTTGCTATATGTTACTACTATATATGACTATAGTCAAGTACAGTAGCATGTAGTAATGTTACTATATATGACTATAGTCGACTACAGTAACATGTAGTAATGTTACTATATATGACTATAGTCGACTACAGTAACATGTAGTAATGTTACTATATATGACTATAGTCGACTACAGTAACATATAGTAATGTTACTATATATATCTATAGTCGACTACAGTAACATGTAGTAATGTTACTGTATATGACTATAGTCATCTACAATGTTCTATACTCTTAATAAATTTAACTTCATAGTGTACTATTCCCCATCATTCCTTATTGTATGAAGTAGCAACCTGCGGCAAAATATACGAGTTAGAGAAAACGAACGCTAAAATCGAAAATAAAAATTAAATCAAACCTTATACGGACGACTATACTTTTGAGTAATTTCATCAAGCACTGATCTAATTATGGCACTGTCGCCATTCCACACCAGAGATTTCAATTTGCAGACCAATTTGCTGATCATCTATAAAAAAAATTAAAAATATATACAAATCTACAAATTAAATCATAAGCTCAGTAATATAATAAATTGCAATGGCTCTTTGAGTTAATTCTTATCTATTTGGTCCAACAATTCTCCAGATACAACAGTACTACAGTAGCATGTCTTCCAAAAATTTATCTGAGATAAATATCCAATTTAATTATTACAAATTATCACTAACACAGTTTAGCACCTTACGAATATTCAGAATTACAATATTAGTCAAAAATTAAAAGAACAAACATAATTTATAATATATAATTAATTAAGCACCTGTTTCCATGAAAGGCACTCAGGTGAATGATGGTCAGAAGACAACAGCTCCATCTCCGCCAGGCCACCGGAACAATCTGGAAATCTCTCGCAGCGACGGAAGTTCTTCCGATGACCATGACATTTGCGATTTTTCTCTGAAACCTAGGGTTTCGAATTTGAAGGGAACCTGAATCTGAACCAACCGAGAGATTTGGATAAATATTTTTCTCTCGAAATAAGAACAGTGGCGAGAGAGAGTTAGAGAGAGAGGGAGAGATAAAGAGAAACCGAGAGGAGGGATGTAAACGGCGGACGTGTGAATGGAAGAGAGGGGTTAGGCGATTAGGTTATTTATTGAATTGAATTAAAAGGGCAAAACAGGTATTTTATGTTGTTCAGGTGGGTCTCACAAATTAAGTTCAGAATTTGGGTTTTTGACTAGGAAGGAAAAATTCTTTGGACCTACTCATATATATATTTTCAAAACTAGGGGGTTATATACGAAAAATAGTGATTTATTCAAAATGTTCAGACAAGAGATCAAGAATTTGCGGATAACTAAGAACCTGCAAATCATCGAGTTCATGTGCGAAATCATTTGACCTAGCTAAGACAAAGCACCTGCAATGGCGATGACAAGGCAATAATTTGATGCAAATTAAAGCACCTTGAAAATAATGACAACGACAGTTTCATAGTCGTTGCAGTCGATACAACACATGGTTTCAGTTTCCCCCCTTTCCTCGGGCAATTAAAAGACAATATTTCGTCGCAGAATAGTAACCAAAATTTCGAAGAAAACATAAAGATGGTGAATTTTGTAGCTCGTGCACATAAAACAGATGATAATTATTAAATTGTTCATAGAAGCCCGAGTACATAAACCATTTCACAAGCAACTGCGTGTTTACCTCCGTTAACCTCACCCAACATAGGCAACAACTTCACATGCACTAGATCCTCGTTCAAACGATGAGATTTTATCGAGCATATAAATCCTCTTCTTGGAAATAAGATAACATGGATATACTATTTCTATTTTCTCCAAGATTATAGCATTCTTCAAAAGATATTTCACGGCTTTAAACTCGTGTTTTGTCCGTACGAAGCGAAAAAGCGTTATAGTTCTAAGACGTGATACGAGGCATGTCGGCACTTGCTGGGGATCCATCCATCTGTCTATTTTTTCATTCACCTGATCATAACAACAACAATAAAACAAACTTATTTAAGACAATTAAAAAAAAGTAGATTTTTGTTTTATTGCATCATCAACAAACCTCCCGGAGAATAAGGATTTCAAGATTATTAGCATTTTCAAGGAGCTTCGGGAGAAACCGGCAATCAGAAGTCATCTCGAGTTTGGTTACGTTACGAAAACTTATAGTCCGTGCAGCGAACACCGAGTGAATATTCTGGAAAGACACGCACAAACAAGATATATAAGATCACCACCACTAAAGCAATAATATACAATGCGCTAAAAACGGGATCTAAAACACACACACACCTCTGCACGATGCGACAAATCCAAATTCAGGCACCGTACGTTACGGAGCCTTTCAATAAATTCCACCACGGATCGAGAATAAAGAAAATCATTCCTATAATCCTGAATATAGACACTTGCTTCAGTCAATGAGGCCACCGATCCGAATTTGATATGGTAGTTCGCGCTATCGAATAACTGGAGATAAACAATGGCGGGGGTATCGATCTCCAGGCTGTAGCCGGTGTAGTACATCTCATCGGGATCCTTGCGAATATCGGAATAAATATCGATCACAAGTGTTTTGATAGTGGGCGAAGATATGGTAAAAGAACGATATTCAAAGGACAAATAGAGTACCAACTCCTCGAGCACCGGACAACCGGAGAGAAGGTGGGGAAGGAACTCGTGTCCGCGAATGAAGATTAGACGAAGCTTCTTGAGGAGAGGCAAACTCACTGCACTGCCGATATTGGGGAACTCACCACAACAATGGAGCCTCAAATCGACTAGGGTTTTGCTGGTGAAGAGGGATCGGGGCAGAAATACATCAGCCGACTGGCGCCAAATATCGAGATTTTGCACATTGCGCTCAATTGCAAAGGTAATCCATGTACCGATTTGATAATCGTCGCAGTCAATTCTATCGGAGAGGCGAAAAGTAATGATATTTCGGACATTGTATAGCGATAGAACCCTATCTATTGTACCTTGATTCTCGTTGTTGAAGTATAAATTGGGGACGTCGGTCCAGAGATACCTCCATCTTCGAGAGAGAATACTGGTTGCCACGGACTTCTGAGTTGGGAGGAATGAGAGAATGTAGCAGAGGACTGAGTCTGGCAACTCGCTGAGCCTGTCAATTGAGATATTACGCCGGTACGTTTCTGTTATCTCCATAATTAAATGAAAACGATAGAGCGCGTGGGGGGGTTGGACGAAGAACAAGATTTAAGAAAATGTTTGATTTGCTGTGGTCATAAACCCTACTTTTGACGGAAAAAAATAGGGATTATTTGACAAACCCCCCTCATATGCAATTTGTGATTAGTAGGGGTCCAATTTTTTTTTCTCTTTTTGAGATAAGTCCAAAATATTTTTTAATTAGCCTTAAATAATATATATCACTATAATACCCTTAATCCAAACTATACAACCCTAATTACCCGTCTTTTTTCTGCAGATAGCCACCCCCGACTTTTCTCTCTCACGCAGCCCCTCCCCTCGCCTTTTCCCTCTCACGGTCGCCGCCGCTCCTCCTCTAGCTTTTCTTTCTCACTGTCGCCGCCACGCCCCCGCCCTCCCCTCGATTTTCTATCTCACTGTCGGCGCCGCCCCTCTATTATCTCTCCATTTATGCCACAACCTGGAGAAAGGTCGAGGAGTTAGCGGTGGAGGAAGGCGGTTTTTCTGGTCTGAACGTGAACCAATAGAGGCTTCTATAAATTGTTCTCGTGTTAGGGTTTGGAGTGATATTTATTTCAACACTTGTGGCTATTGAGATTCGTATCTCATAAGTAGTTCATATGTGCATATTATTTTCCGTAATTCTGCAATTGTCTTTGAATCTTGTCTATTTCAGTAATTCATGTGTTCTGGTGTTAAAAA